GCAAGCGGGTCTGACCTAGGGTGAATTTTAAATAGGGACAATTTTAATGATTTTAATAAGACACAGCTATAAATATTTGGTTTTTAATTGGCTTTTATAGGGGATAATGTTTTATATTGTTTTAACATGCTGTGAGCCGCCCTGAGTCCCATGGGGAGAAGGGCGGCATATAAGTTAATGAAAATAAATAAATAAATAATATATATATATACATATTCATTCCAATTATTTTATTGCAGTGTGCTGTGTTTTGCAACTGCCATACAAAGAGCCTCGTGTAGAGAATAAAACAGCAAAATTTCTGCTTTTTTTTTCAGAATAGCTCAAGTTCTAGACCTTGAAGTGCATTTAAAAAAGACAACTAAGACATTACCTGCTGGATTAAGTAGAAAAGTAAGCTCTGTGATTCATTGTATTTTAGCTACAAGTCTTGTGACACCATATCCAGCTACGCCAGTGTTTCTCAACCTTGACAATTTTAAGGCATGTGGACTTCAACTCCCAGAATGCTGGCTGTGGAATTCTGGGAGTTGAAGTCCACATGCCTTAAAATTGTCAAGGTTGAGAAACACTGAGCTATGCTTTGTCATTCCTCCTTTTAAACTTCTTCCTCAATGCAGTTTTGTCCAGGTTGTCTGCTCCCTTAAAGCATTTCCATAAAATAAAGAAATGAAATTGAGGAAAGAAGAGACATAGCTGAAGAGAAGAGAGGAGGCCTTTTGGCATGAGGAGCCATGCTAGGACACCATGGAGACCTGTGTTTTACAGCTGGCAAGCCATCATACATAACTAGCATTTGTATGATAAGCTCCTTGCTTAAAAATACGTCAGTCTTTCACATGACTAAATGAAAGGAGACCATGCTAAAGAATGACAGAATTGCATGTTCCTGAGTACTCGAGCCCAAAACCTTCTAAACTGACTGACTTCTTTACCTAGCATTGTAATACATTGGATTCCTCCATCATTTTCTGAAATTCTGTTATATTGCTGTAGGAATTATATAGAATATTAAGATTCTTAAATAATGCACACTTTGAAAATCTGAGGACATGGACAATAACTCTCCTGATAATTGTCTTAAAAATCTAAATTGGTAATGACTGAGAATTCGTTACATCTCCCAATGTACTTTGTGTTAAGCCACAAAGACTGTTCTCAAGCTGATGAGGTTTGTAGTAGAACAGAGTGAAAGAATATTTTTGTCCATTCCAGTCCTTCAAGAAGATACCATGTAAAAATTAAAATGCCTTTTAATAACTTCCAGTGTATTGGTAAGTATCTCAGAACACTAATATTAGTTTGTCCTCACTGATATGTTGCTTTTCCATTTGTGCAGCTATCATTAGGAAAGCGTGTGTTTCAAGAACATATTGAAATGTGTATTCCTTGCATTTTCATCTTTTGTATGGGTGAAATATTTAAGAGGGTTTAATATAATTTCCTGCATTTCAGTTGTGCTTTGCCCTGAGCATGTTGAGTAATCCTACCTTGTGGCTACTAGATGAACCAACCACTGGCCTGGATCCCAAAGGAAAACACCAAGTGTGGTAAGTGTTCTGTACATTGAACTTTTAGGAGTAGGTTTGCACACTTACAGTTGTAATAAAAATTTATCTCCAATATCTTATTGTTTATATCTCAATAATCAAGTGTGTGTTGTTTGAATTTATAAAACGTTTTTGACAAAATTCCATGGGGATTTGATTTCCACTCGTACCTCTTGTAGCATCTTAGTGTTCTGTTAGAAAATGTTATTTTCCTATCTGTGTATATGATGAATCTCAGGCTTTCTGGAGACACCCAGCCATCTTGTCTTTATTCATGATTCCAGGGATTAAAAGAGATTTTTGCAAGGCTTTCAGTTTTCTCCTTTTCCAATGGAAATGTACCAGGCTGTTTCTCACTGAAACTGTCAAGTCACAAATAAAAATAATAAAATAAAATAATAAAATAAAATAAAATAAAATAAAATAAAATAAAATAAAATAAAATAATAAAATAAAATAAAATAAAATAAAATAAAATAATAAAATAAAATAAAATAAAATAAAATAATAAAATAAAATAAAATAAAATAAATAAATAAAATAAAATAAAATAAAATAAAATAAAATAATAAAATAAAGCCAGCCAATCATGGGATTTATGAAAAACCTATTAACATCATGCCAGTGAAATGGAAGGAGATAAGAGAATATGCAATTCATGTATCTTTGCCATTCCTTTTGAAGATGTCTTTTTCAGAGGTCCTTGAATTTAGTGTGTCTCCAGGAATAGCACAGATCTGATACTAAGTTTAGTTTATTTATTTACCAGATTTCTATACTGATCATCATACGCATGATTTTTTGCAACTGTATTTAAAATTATTTTAAGAACTAGGAATATTTACATAACCTATGCATCCAGTGCTGCTTTATTCATGTTCCTGATACATCTGTGAAATACTGACTATAATGTATTAATCCTAATCTTGCCTGTTTCAAAAATGTACCGCCTAACCAATAAGGAAAAGAAACAAGCTTTTACCATATTCCATAAGAGAGATGCACAAGCTGAGAAACCTGTCCTGATTTCTCATCCATCTACTTTCCCTCTTTATATTATGCTCATTGGACTTGATTTGGGATTACATTCAGGCATTCTAGCATCCTGGCTTGGATGTTCTACTCATCAATTAAAGCTGAATCATAGCAGAATTCAGGTTTCCTTCATTTTCATCAGTCGGATGGTTTCTTTAGGAGAGCAATTCACACTATGCTGCAGAACAAGGATGAAGGTGCCATTTTGACGACTCATCACATGGAGGAAGCAGAGACAGTGTGCGACCGAGTAGCTATCATGGTGTCTGGACAGCTCAGGTAGGTTTTCAGTGCATGTTTTCTTTGTTGAGCACATAGGACTTTCTTGTAGACTTTTTCTCTTTTTGGCTATGATGGATGAAATTCAAACTCTGAAACAGAGTAAATAATAATGGAGTTCCTGAATGCCACAATACATTCAAGCATTGTTTGAAGAGAGTTATGGTAATGTACTTAGTAATTTATATTTATAGGAGAAACCCTATATGTGCACTGATTCTCATATGCAAAGAATTTTTGCATGAAAAAAGGATACAGACTTTACTGTATGCATCCTCTGCCATTAGTTTGAAGATTATTCAGAAGTTACAGTTAGCGGAAAGTTCAGCAGTGTACAAAATATGTTATCACAGATGATGTCCTGCTGTGTGGTTTGATGGAAATTCTTCTCCTATTTTGCTGGTTAATCAAAATCAAACTTCAAACGTTCTATTGAAGAACAGATGTTAATTTGCTTAATTGGGATGTTGCCTGATAATGAGTTACGCAAGTCAAATTTGGTAGTGACAACTATCCTTCTGCTGATATCCCCACTCAGGAAAAAAAAGAAATAAGGCACTTTTTCACTCAATATTTAGGTAGCTCAATTGTGTATACCATAACTAAAAAGAATTCTACTTTCCTTAACTCTATGGTGGACATTTAACTGTGCTTCTTTATGCTGATGATGTGACTATTCTTTCTTTGACTCACATTGGTTTTAAAAGAGGTCTTTAAGCCCTAGTAGTGTGTTGTAGGAAGTCAAGTTACACAAAACTACACCAAAACCAAAATAATGGGATTTGTTGTTACAGAAAAGAACTTGAATTATACAAACTTTAGTGGCAGATAAACAATAACGTTATAGTCCAAATATCATCCTTCAAATACCTTGGCATAGTATTTCAACTTTTTGGAGTCTCGTGTGAACAAATTTAATCTATAAGCCAGACCAGATTCCTAAGGGTGCTGTTTTGTGTTGTGTGTTGAATTTCAAACTCAACAATCTAGTTTGACACAGATGATCCTGCTGGAAGGCAAGAATCAGCTCTACATCTGGCTTCATCTTCCCAGTGATTTCATAATCATAATAGATTATGATTTTTGGGCACTTTTTCCTCTTCTAGAAAAACTAGAATCTGTAATGGTTATGCCAATGCAACTTCTAGTATCAAGCTTTATTGGCTATGAGTCTACTGAGAGTTAGAGTCACACTCCAGCATCTGATGTTCAAAGTCATCCAGTTAACTAATATTGGAAGGATATAAATGGGAAAGCATTCTTTTTTTTCAAATTACCTATTTGGTGCTAGCCTTCCTACACACAACAGAGTCTCTTTCTTTGGCCTGCTTTCATGACTTGCCCTCAGTGATATTGTAGAGAAGGTATAATAATAATACTCTTTTTGCAGCGCAAACTTGTCGCTGGAGGAACTAGAGATCCTAGTCCACATGTTCCTCCCATGTCTTATTTATACAATCTTGACCCCACCCTTATAACCCTTGCACATGTTTGTTTGTTTATTTGTTAAATTTATTTGCCAGATATCTTGCCATGACTCTACTTTAGGCGGGTTACGTTGCACAAGTTCCAAGGAGTTTTTTATCTGTTTTATGTCATTGTACTAAAATCTTAACATCTCCAACATCTTGCAAAATTTCTTGCAGCTGCCATTGCTTAACACAGGAACATACTGTTGTAATTCTGCAGATTTATAACTACAGAAAATGTGTTTTTAATATTGATTTATGTCCTTTTGTCATATGTGATTAGTCACCAACTGCAGGAAAGCATACAGTATATTCAGTCTGTTTATTGTCTTCCAATTTCTTCTTCTTTCAGCGTACACTTCTTAAACTATATTCAACTTATTTGTGTATCTCTCTTGACATACTTAAATCTTACATTCACATAATAATGGGGGTTTCAGAATGGTCTTACTAGTTTTAGTATTATGAGTGAATCCCAGCCTGCCAGCTTTCAGCAAACCATCAATTAAATAGGAGCTTCCTGTAAATTTGCAAGGCAAGTCTCCAGTCTTATTTAGTTCACTTCAGTCCAGACACAGAGGTCTTAGATGTGAACTGGATGGAAAGGGTAAGGGAAAAACATAACCAAACTAAAGCAGGATTCCAAGTATCAGATACAATATCGATTGAGGGACATGAGCATGCAATGGAAAATTTGGGGTATGACCTAAAGGCACCTCTCCCAGCCTCCTTCCAGTTGCAATTGTTGCCTGACAGTTCAAATTATAGAAGATCTGAATATTTGTAGTTCAGGATTGAACCATAGGGTCCTTGGTGCTCTTTGAGTTTCTTGTTTTCTTGCAGACATTTCATTACCAAAGTAGGTAACATCATCAGTGCTTACAGAAGAGCACAAGTTCCCATGCTACTTGTTGGAAGTCTCTTTTGTGCTCTTTCCTATCAATACAAGCCCTTGGTCCTTTCTCCTCTCTACACGATCCTGGCAATGGAGGGTCAATGGTCTGGTATCTTTTAAAATCAGCATGTGGGGACATGGATCAGAATACTGCTACCTGACAACAATTTGATCCCATACTTTGCATGCTGCTGCTGCTGCTGCTGCTGCTGCTGCTGCTGCTGCTGCTGCTGCTGCTGCTGCTGCTGCTGCTGCTGATTATTATTATTATTATTATTATTATTATTATTATTATTATTATTATTATTATTATTATTATTATTATTATTATTATTATTATTATTATTATTATTATTATTATTATTATTATTATTATTATTATTGCAGGTGCCTGGGTTCAATTCAGTATCTGAAAAGCAAATTTGGAAAAAATTATTTGCTGCAAATAAAAGTAAAAGGAGAAGAACAAGGGGATCTTGTGAATACTCAGATTCTAAAAATGTTCCCACAGGCAGCTCGTCAGGAAAGGTAACAGCAATATTTATCTACAACTTGACAGAATGCTTAAAATTGTTTGAAATGTAAATCCTTGTGCTTTTTGGGATGGCTTAACACTGAAGAAGAACATTCCTTCTTTTTATTTAACCTCCTATTAGGAAGATTTTGCTTCTGAAGACAAATTCGTACCCTTGATCCAGATGGTTATCTGTATGCTTTGCCTATTAGATTCAGTTGCTTCTCAAAATTAATTGCCATTATTATGGCAAAGATGGAGAAATGTGTAAGGTGGAGAGCCAGTTTGATCTAGCGGTTGAGGTACCAGGCTAGAAAAAGGAAGATCGTGAGTTCTAGTCCCACCTTAGCCATGGTTGGATATGTTCCCCCACCTTGAGTTATTTGTTAAAATAGTAAAGGTGGGATAAAAATAAATAAAATGTTTGTTACTCCTCCTTGAACCTTTATTTTTAAAGTTTCTGTATATACAAATTGGGTTGCTCTGCCCAATAGTCTTGTGGGTCAAAATTATCAGTGATGCAGATTATTGTTTATCATTGTATTTATTTATTTATTTATTTATTTAATTAATTAATTAATTAATTTGTATGCTGCTGAATTCTTCTGGCTTCTTAGCAGCTAACAACCATAAAGTAAAGTATGAATTAAATGTCCGTTGTATGAATCAAAGCATAATACAAAAGAAGAAAATAATACAAGTAAACATATAAATAATGGAATAAACAATGCAAAGAGTCAATAAGCAAAAGATATTACATAATGATCAATACCAGCATCAAACACTTAGAAACCCTGAACTATCAAGGCCTGAAGGTTCTCAAGCAAATCTTGGTTTTAGTTGCTTTCTAGAAAGTTTTGATTTTTAGTTTTTATTTATTATTAAAATCTTTTGCTGCCATCTCTTTTTGACCTGACTCTTGGCATCTTGCAGCATCAAAATATTAAAAACATCCAGGATAAAATGAAATTACAATCAAAGTTAAATCATAGTTACAAGATGGGGAAGGGCGGAGCCAGATTGGGAGGCGGTCTTAATTAATCAACCACCTCCAGTATGATAGTCCCCATTATCACTAAAAAAGCTAACCTGATTTCCAGGACAGGTTATTCCATAATATTGAGGCCATCACAGAGACACACTTTTTTATAATCTCAACCCCACTCGTGTCCAGAAAGTGAGGAACCACCAATAACTTTGCCAAGGAAGATAATTTTGAATGGGCCGACTCAAGTTGGAACAAGCAGTCATGGAGGTGATATTATTATTTCTCCTCCACTTAGGATATTTATGGTTTCACCTCCTTTTAGGATATCCACTTTGTTGGTCTACAAGATTCCAATGAAAGATGCACTGCCTCTCTCTAAGGCTTTTTCCATGCTAGAAAAAGGTATGTCTGAAAGTTTTATGAAATGTGAACACATAAACTCAAAATAAAATAAAAAAAATCTTTAGCATCTCTGAACATCCATCAACAGTGTGAAATTTGAATTTATTCATTTGTTTATTTAACCTATTTATGTAGCTGCCCAAATCACACATACATATCTCTGTGTGGTTTACAAAATTAAAAAAAAACCCACCCTATAATAAAACCCATCAACAAATGGTGTAGAATAATGAGCTTAGCCAATTTCTATCCAACCTAGGAATGGGTTCAGAACAACCAACATTCAATATTTCAAGAGCACATTGTTGCTTTTACCCTGCCTTACCAAATATCTCTCTTCCTGTTGCCTCTTTAAAAGTAACATTCAGACTCTTAGATTTATTCTCTAAAAATTGCAAAAGTGGCGTTTACAGTACAAATTGCACACTGGAAACTAAAGCCCTGAATTTATAATGGAGCTAATGCGACAAAGATAAAATATTTCCTCACTCTTAATGCTAATACATAATATACAGTACAGATATATTCCACCGACTTAAATATAGATAGTCCTCAACATACATCTCCAGGCCACTGCAATTGTCATAAATGCAGGCCAGTTGCCAAGTGTCTGAATTTTCATTCATGTGACCACAGGGATGCTGCAATGGTTAGAAGGGCGAAAAACATTCATAAGTCACCTTTTTTTTCAATGCCATTGTAACTTCAAATGGTCACTAAATGAATGGGTGTAACTTGAGGACTATCTGTAAGTACTTGAGAAACAGCCCCGAACTGCAGATCTAAGTTCACCACTCATGATCAAGGTCAGGAACCAGTTATTTTTCTCCTTACCTATGAATTCTGGTTTCAGTCACCACCCAGGAATGTGGTATTAGTTCAAACTGATGAAGAATGGAAAATTAAGAAGAGTTGATAAAACAAAAAACAACCACCACCACATATTTTCTTCCATCCCAAATCTCTCATCTTCTCATAAGGTTTACTCAATGGAAACCTGTCTCTCTTTGGACTACCAAGGTAACTCTGAGACAAAAAAATGATTCAGAGTCCTTGTGCTAGAAAAAGCACAAGGTTGAAGTATGTGTGGTTTTCTTGAGGACAGCAGCAAATTTGAGTACAATGTGTACAGCTGAAATATTTTGTTTACTGCGGCGCCTTTCAATTTTTGCAGCTGAGAGCCTCTGTAGGATTTCCCAAACCAGGCGTGAGTTTCCATTGTACGTCCAAAGCTCCCTCCCTAGTGGCAATTTTAGTCAGAAGAAATAAATCTGCAAATTTCTGGTCTGAGCCCAAAGGAATGAGAGCACTAGATCTGCATGGCAGAGCTTATTTCCGAAATTCAGCCCTTCAGCGAGTTTACAAAAGTCAATTGAAGCAAGTCAAGGAGGTGAACAAACAGTGTGCAGACCACCAGTACTGGAAGGGCCACCTTTTAGAGATTTGAAACTGGAACTTTTAGGAAACCAAATTTCTCTATATGGGCATTCTATCCTTAGTGTTGAGGTAAACCCAGCTATAAACTCCCTGGTTCACTCCTTATTGGCATGATGTTTTTTCATTCCCTGTTGACATCTTATGCTATTATGCCTACTATGTGGTCCCTACTATTATGTAGTCCATTCTGAGGAATGCTCCTTACTCTGAGAGAAATCATCAACTCTTACAGTTCACTTTATTTGGTCAACTTTATTTGGTAACTTGCCTTCAGGATGACTAGATTTCTTGATTATGTTATGATTATGTTTAAGACAGATGAACAGACAGAGAAATGAAACATTGCAAAGTAATGCTACAGCAGCCCAACCATATTTTAAAAGCACTATTAGTCTTTTGGAAATGTTTTGAAAACATGGGCTTTATAAGGAATAGCACGTCCCTGCAATGCTTTAAAACAGGGGTCTTCAAACTTGGCCCTTTTATGACTTTTGGACTTCAATTCCCAGAATTCCTCAGCCATTATTTTCAGGCTGCTGCACAAGTCTGAAAAAGGGATACTGCTACTTTAAAGAGTTAACTCATTAATGTGATGCTTAATCAGAACCAGCATTTTTTCAGACCCAAGAAGCCAAACTGCTTTAATGAATAGCACAGAGTTGGGTGTTCATAGTTGTGTGAGGTCTAAAGCATATGTTCCGAATTAATTTCAAAGTATGCATAGCCCTAATCTTTAGCCTGATTGTCACTACTAGCGACCTTTCCAGAATGGTGGTGCATCAGGATTAGACAATTTTCTCACCAGAGTTTTTAATGACCATCCTGCGGTCATCTGTTATGGATAGTTTTATTATAGGAATGACCCAGGTGTCAGAAGAGCACTTTAGTTTGTCTTGCCTTTGTACATGTAGGGTATCTGAATTGAATCAATTCCTGATAATTTAATCAGTAAAATTAGTAAAGATCAATATTTAATTATTGGATGGTTATAGCTATTGGTATGCCTTGAATGTTTTGCTTTTGGCTGAGAATTACCGTCTCTATTTTATGCCAAATGCACAATGGTCAAGATAAACTTATTGTCTGGCCCCTAATAGTAACTAAGAAAGTTAGACTCCCATATCGTTTCATCAGCCATGTTTAATGTGAGGAAAAAGACATAAGATTACATAATCGTGGAAACTGGTAAGTTGATTTACTTCCACAGTGAGCATGTGGTGGGTGAAGCTGTTGAACTTCTTTCCAGATCTCTTTCTCTCCCTCCCTCCCTCCCTCCCTCCCCCCTCCTCCCTCCTCCTCCCCCCTCCCACCCTCTCTCTCTCTCTGGAACTAGTTAGCCATTCAGGGGATAAGAATGGAATGTCCTTGCTTTTCTTCTGCAATGTAATAAACATCCCTCCTTGTTCTCAGAATATTCCATTGATTCCAATGAATTTTCAAAAATAAATATATCGACCTGTCTAAAGGAAATGTCTATATGGGCGTTGAATAGAAAATGAATATGCTATGCACAGAACACAAGCAAAACTTTTCCATGCAAAGCCTAAATCAATCAAGCCTACTTTTTTCCCTCTACATAGCTAAACAACTCTTCAGTCTTGAGGAGTACAGCTTTTCTCTGAACACTTTGGAACAGGTAATCTCTTTACATAGTACACTTATCATACAACCCCCCTTAATACACCTCCTCCCAGGTCTTGCAGCCTTATCATGGCAGAAGGGGTCCAAGTGAAGAGCACTTGCAATGGATAGGAAGAATATATATTCTCCATAGGGTCACTCCATAGTGACCCTGTATTCTCCATAGGCTCGCTCAAGGCATGAAGGTCATTCTAAACCAGGTACCTTTATCTGGCCACAGTAAACTAGGAAGGTGTTGGAAGGAGATACTCTTTAGTGTCAATGGCAACGGCATCACTTTCTACTGCATGGGAGAAGGCAATGGGAAATCATTCATGTATTTTATCAAGGAAACCAGATGGATAGACAAGATAAAATGATTGATGATATAGTGCTTGATGACAGGCCCCTTGTTTTTTTATTTACTTACTATTTATTTATTTATTTTAAAAATTATATTGCCGCCTAGGACTGGTATCAGTGAAATGGAAGGAAAGAACACAGTGGGGGTTGTGAGTGGGTGCAGGATCCCCAGGACTGGTATCAGTGAAATGGAAGGAAAGAACACAGTGGGGGTTGTGAGTGGGTGCAGGATCCCCAGGACTGGTATCAATGAAATGGAAGGAAAGAACACAGTGGGGGTTGTGAGTGGATGCAGGATCCCTAGGACTGGTATCAGTGAAATGGAAGGAAAGAACACAGTGGGGGTTGTGAGTGGATGCAGGATCCCTAGGACTGGTATCAGTGAAATGGAAGGAAAGAACACAGTGGGGGTTGTGAGTGGATGCAGGATCCCTAGGACTGGTATCAGTGAAATGGAAGGAAAGAACACAGTGGAGGTTGTGAGTGGATGCAGGATCCCTAGGACTGGACTTCACCAAAGGGAAAGTGGGGGTAGTCATGATAAACATCAAAGGGGTGGAGATGGAATGGCCCCCAAGGCTCGTGAAAGGGTGAATCAGCCCAAGGATGGGAGGCGTGTTCCAGCCTGGGAAAGCAGAGGACGCCCACCTGAGATACAGACACAAAAAAGGAGGGAGGAGGGTGGCAACACACATGTAGGTAAAGGAGGTAAGGAAGAATTAACTTGGTTTGCAGATGAGGCCAGGATTGGCCGGCCGGGGCCTGTCACAAGATCTAGGAGCCGTGCGCAGACATGACTATATTTATAAGCAAGCTCTCCCAGCATCCTGATTATACCCTGACGATGATGGCAGTTTTAGGCCATCGAAAGCTTGGTTTTATTTATTAAAACTGTATTGTTTTATACTTCCTGGTGATCACTTTGTTGTCTTATATATATATATATATATAAAATAAAATAATAACCCTCCATCCCCCCACCTCAGTGACAACACACACTCATAACAGTCATTTAATGGGCTCCATCCCGCTCTGGGTTCCCCAGGCCCACTGACAGAACCACTTCTTCAGGGCCTTCTGAAAAAGTGTCAGAGTGGGGGCAAATCTAATTTCCGGAGGGATGATGTTCCAGAAGGAAGGAGCCACCATGGAGAAGGGCCTTCTTCTGAGTCCTGCCAGAGGTACCTCCTTAGGGGACGGGACCCACAACATTCCTTGTGTCCCCGCTCTAGTGGTTGGATGGCACTCCATCTTACTGAGAAAGAGCTGAAAATATTTCAGAGCACTAATGATGTTTATAATGCAGTTACATTAAAGCCTTTGAGACATCTAGTTAGACAGAACTAATATAGAACATAAAAAGCATAAATGTGGGAAAGCTCAACACAATACAAAATGAAATAACTCAACTACATTTTGATATCTTAGGCATGAAAGCGAGTGGAGCCGGACACTTCCACTCAAAAGATCATCTTGCTTTTTGCCACAAAAAGCAAAGAAGGAGTGGCAGTGCTTCCATAAACAGGAAGGGTACACTATAGCAAAGACACTACTTGGACGGAATATAAAATCAATGGCCAAATGATATCAATCAGAAAGCCCTCAAGGATTCTTCACCCAAAAGATCCTTGTTTAACAAAGTGTGGGGAACTAAAACTAATCTTTTCCAAGGAAAGATAAATATTAGGCAAATGTTATCTCTTATACCATTCATCCACCATCAACTAACCTATTAAATATTGTCTGCTTTATGTAGGTTTTCCTAGAACTTTGCAAAGACCAAGAGCGAGATTATGTTGATTTGGCTCTGAATACAACTTTTGATTGGAAGAAACTTCAGGAAGCTGATCTCTAAGTCATCAATGCATTTAAAAAACTGAAAAGTACTGACGCAAACACTGATGCCTTGATCTGGAAGAGAGAGTAATCTCTTGATAATGGAGTTTATAATCTGTTGCTTAGAATGGAAGCCTTTTAAGGAAAACGCATTGTGACTAACCCTTTTACTAGCCATATCTAGAGAATTTACAGTTCAGGAAATTTTCAACCAAGAAGAAACGTGAATTTCTCTGGATTGTTTCATGTTTCAGGAACATAATTTTCACCTTTTATTGTGTGTGTAAATTAAAGTACACATAATACTTTCAAATATATTATTTAGATCTGCTTTCTTAAATGAGTACAGATGGTATATTTTTCAGATTAAAATATGTAAGTGCCTTAATTCTGATAAATATTATATATACAGTATACCCAATGTTTATATGGCAAATAAATTGCTGTTTTCTAAATATCTAAGCATTTTTCTCTCCTTTATCCTACATTTTCAAACTTGCAACAGTGAAAAACTGAACCCAGAAATATCAACAGTGCAGAGGAAAAAAGGAAATTTTTTTTGAGGGGGGGGGAACGCCCCTTCTCCAAACTGTTAGCAATACTAAGGAACAGAAAAAAGCATAGAAAATTTTGTTTATTTTGTTCATCAGAGGTGACTTTGGGATTAATATATGTCAGTGCCTGAGTCAGGAAAGCAAATGACACTTCTTAAATGAAAATGAAGAAAGCGCAAAGCCAATCAAATCATTTTCTTATATGAAGCACAGTTTCCCAAGCAACTTTCTTTCTTCTTGATGGAAAAAAGCCTTTAATAATTAACCATTTGCTATACTCTAAGGACCCCCCCCCCCAAAAAAAAACCCATCTCTGCACAGCCACAAACCTCTTCATCCTTCTACTGGATCTACTTCCAGAATTAAATCTGAAGAAGTTGTGATAGTGAACTGTTTTGTAAAGTATTATCAAACATCATATTAAAAACAGCTTTTGGACAGAGAGGACCACTGATTTGAAAGTGGGGTCAAAGAGGCCAGCTATGTCAAAACTGAACAGCCCTCTCTCAACAGAGGGGGAGGGATACAACATCATCTATCTCCAGTCTACAATACAGTCCTTTCAACAGTTCCAAGAAGGCTCCACACCCATTTGCACTACTTAGGTGACCCTGAAGACACAGATAAGCCTCCAGGGAGCATTAATGACTCACTAAAAGAATGCAAATGAACAGCTGTCTGCAAGGAGTATAAATCCTTCCATTCCCCACCATCCAATCAGAGCTGAAGAAGCTTCTTGAATGAAAAGCGAGAGGTCTTCAGGGTAAAACAAAGCAAGTCCAGTTGCCTTGTGAAAAAGCATCTTTGGGATTAAAAACAGCTGTTATGAAAGAATAAGTAATATTAAGATACTGTTGGGATTTACTACAGCTTTACACAGAATCAGTTTCTGAATGATTAATTGCTTGTGTTCTTTTTTTTAATTGCCATGGATTTTCGAGAACTGAAAGTTATAGACTGAAAGAATGTTTTCTATTTCATATGTTAATTTACTGGGTTATATGATAAGTATTATTTCTTAATTTACTCTCTTGGAATTAGCAATTTACTGTGGAATAGTTTTTTTAAATCCTCAGTAACATGTCTGATCTGTCGGTCCCTGGAGAATAGTTGTTTTAAACCCTAAAGATTTAAATGAGTATGGTCTTGTATTGTGATAATATCTGTGGCATCAACTAAATGACTTAATCGTTTGCTTTTTGTTTATTGGACCTTTAAAGTCACCCTGGTTTCATTTGCATGATTGGCCTCCTCCCTGATCTACTAAAAGTCTGAACATTTTTATCTTGAATTATAATACAAGTCTCAGGATTTGTCACATGCAGAGTATGTGAAAATAGTTACTTCCAGCATTGTCTAGTTTGGAGAAATAACAGATCAACAGAAGTCTGTCGTGGTTATTAATTCTTTGCTGTCTCTTCCCTACATTGAAACATGGATGTATTAAATGGGTAGTTTTAATGTTGGCTGTGGTTGGAAATAGCCATCATTGAATTTACTGGCTATTTTTGGGTATGGTTAGCTAGTAATGTTAATTTTTAATGAATTAAACATTAAGGGCACCTTAACTAATAAGAATTTCAATACCTACCAGGATTTAGGTAGAATCAAACAATTTCTTTAAGGCTGAGCCAAAGAGGAGCTCTATGATGTAACCACTAATTCTGTTCAATGATTATAATTATAATGAAAACTGAAAGTGTTGAAAATTAACCATATTTCCAGTATATTTAAACTAGGGGAACTCTGTATTAAAAATTGACTATAAAATAATATGTATAAAGTGATGCATATTAGTACATAAAGTCTTAACCTCACATAATGATCAACAATGCATTCTATACAATTCTTCAACTTAAATTCAGATATACAACCATGACTTATAAAAAAGGATTGGAGGTTCTTATCATGGTTTCCAAGATTCTATATTCTACCCAATTCACGCATTAAAACTTCTTATTTAAATCTATATGAATCTTGATTTCACAATGGTACCTTCCGACATGGGAGTTGACAATGAATCTTCTTATGTTTTTATATATCTCATCATTTAGACCTATTTGTGTGATATTTTTCCAACACTTGCAGAGAATAAGGACAATGACCTTGACACAGATATGCAAAATCTGTTGCCAGAGCGATGAGGGCTAAAACATATCTTAAGTCCCCAACAGACAGAAAGATTTGGAGGAGGCTCAAATACATCCCTAACTCACTTGACTATAAGTAATAGGAAGTACAACATAATCACGCTCAGAAGATTCTGATTATTATGGCCAACCTCAATAAAAGTCGTCTTAGCTGCAGACTTGATTTCTTAGACTGGTCCTCTAAGTGAGGTTGGTGAGTTGCATTTTCTTTTCAGCAAGTGAGTTGTTAATATCACACTTTCTTTTCCACTGTCAAAACTCTTTTTTGCTGGGAGTGGGTAAAAGAATAATAATAATATTCCTATTTTCATAAAACCTCAGTATAATTATTTAGTTAACTCTCCAAAACAAGTAAATATATTCTGGAAATGAATAAAAAGCAAATCTCATTATTTAAAGTTGCTTTCCAAAGGGGATATAAATACTACGGTAAAGAATGATATATAAATACTATGATAAACAAACATCTACCATAAGAATGTGGTCTTCTCCCTCCTTAATATATAAATATATGTTTATGCAGACTTAAATATAATCATTGGTTGAATCTATGAAATAGAAGAATTTGCGTTTATAAAAAGACAGCTTCTGCAAAAAAAAGAAGCTTTGAATTATTTTCAGAAATCAAATTTTGTAACCAGTGCTGTGTTATAATGAATACACAAAATAGTTAAGAATAATTTTCCTAAACATTAAAGGCAAAAAAGGGGGGGAAAGTATACTTAAAACTAGTTTGCTATACACACTGTTCACCTTTTCACATCTATACTTAAAAGCCGTCCTTCACCATATCAATACACAGCTGCATACATATCGTTTATGCTTTTACCTATTGATGTCTTTCTGTTTCTGAATTTCTTCAGTTCCATCAAACCACAACTTTATTGGTTTTCTTTCTCTCAACCCATTCCCTCTTCCCTCATATTTGTTTTTTTTATTCAATCCTAAATAATTTTCTCTATATGGACAAATCACCTCAATACATTTCTTTCATACTGACCACTTACTTTTGTATTCAGTCCATATTCATTTGGACCCATCCATTCATTATTCATCCTATCTCTTTTTGTTTTAATCACACAAAAGGCTTAGGTAATCTGCTCCTACAGTGTTCAACTTATTTTTATGATTCCCTTAACCATTCAATTCTCCTGAATAGCTTACACAAGCTTCTTTTGCTTCTTTTACCAAACATTTATTTCTCACAATAGATCATATAATAACCACTGTAATTCTATTAGGATTTGTATATCTTAACATGTCTCCATCCATTTTTCATCTTTAGTAAACATTTATTTATTTAATATATTTATATAAAACACAATCCCACGAAAGCACAGGTTTGTCTTCCTGGCCTATGAATTTCATTAATTCTCCTCTTTGCCCCTATCAAACAAAACATGGCACATTAATTTTCAGATTTTCACTCTATATTTCATAATACAATCTATTTAATAGCACAAATCTTTCAGGTTTTCCACCACTCATATTCCCAAGCAATGCATTTCTAATACACCATATTCATCCCCCTTACACATTTAACATGAATAATTTTATACATCCAAAGTATATTTTTGTTGTTAGTTGCAAAATCGTGTCTGACCTATCGCGACCCCCTGTCCTCTACCATCTTCTGGTTTCCATCCCTCTCAATTCCTGGCAAACAGATGGGGAAGAAATGGAGGTAGTGACAGATTTTATCTCCCAAAGGATATTACACATCCTTATTATATTCCCTTGTTCAATGTTGGACCTTTTTGTCAAACATCCCATCTTTTCTTATGCATGCTTTATTACCTTCCTATACCACTCTCTTTCAACAACCAACTGAAAATATTTCATAAGAGCCTCTAAATCTATCAGTGGACAATACGCTTTCTCGGACTCATACATTTCTTAATGATCTGCTGAAGACTTGACAACTCTCACCTTATAGACCTTTTGCTAAAAAGTGAGAAAAAAAGGAACTTTTGATTTGTGGGCTTTAAGGTGAGAAAGGAAAGCTTATGGAAAGAAGGAATTTATGATGTAACTTTAGAGAGAAAGGACAATATATATACAATATGTATAATTGCTATCAAGAAGATTGAAAGCTGCTTTTTAAAAAAAAATTAAATTTCTTTTTCTATTTTCATTTTCACTATTTACTATTCTTATATTTGGACAAAATACACAATTATAATTGATTACCGTATGCCATCAAATCTCCTATATCTGAGGGCTGAATAAAACATGGTCCTTGAATCTTATTCGATAGCTGTAATTATTACAATGCCTTGGTAAGGCCACACTTGGAATACTGCATCCAGTTTTGGTCACCGTGATGTAAAAAAAAAATGTTGAGACTCTAGAAAGAGTACAGAGAAGAGCAACAAAGATGATTAGGGGACTGGAGGCTAATTCCTCATATGCTATGAGGAACGGCTGCTGGAATTGGGTATGTCTAGTTTAACGAAGAGAAGGATGAGGGGGGACATGATAGCAGTGTTGCAATATCTCAGGGGCTGCCACGAAGAAGAGGGAGTCAAGCTATTTTCCAAGGCGCCTGAAGGCAGGACAAGAAGCAATGGATGGAAACTAATCAAGGAGAGAAGCAACCTAGATCTCAGGAGAAACTTCCTGACAGTTAGAACAATTAACCAGTGGAACAACCTGCCTCCAGAAGCTGTGAATGCTCCAACACTGGAAGTTGTTAAGAAGAGACTGGATAGCCATTATTATTATTACTATTACTATTATTATTATTATT